AAAGGGATCAATCAGAAAAAAGATCAAAACAAAATGAAGAAAGCCTAAGGTTCATGTGGGATACCATCAAAAGGAATAACCTACATGTCATTGGAATTCCACAACAGGAAGAGAAAAATGAAACCACTGAGAAAATTGTCCAAGATTTGTTGGAGGAGAACTTCCCTGATATGATGAAAGATGATAATATATCCATTCAGGAAGTCCAACGAACCCCAAAGAGGATAGACTCCTAAAGAAAAACACCAAGACACATCATTATCAAACTCATCAAAACCAAAGAAAAAGAAAGAATCATGAGAGCAGCACGGGAAAAATGAAAAGTTACCTACGAGGGGCAATCAATAAGATTAAACTCCAATTTCTCAACAGAAATCATGCAGGCAAGAAGACAGTGGGATGGTATATATAAAACACTGAAAGAGAAAAATTTCCAACCAAGAATTATGTACTCAGCAAAACTGTCCTTCAAATATGATGGTGAAATTAGGACATTTCCAGATAAACAGAAATTAAGGGAATTTGTTAAAACCAGACCAACCTTACAAGAGATGCTAAAAGGAGCCCTTTGGACAGAGAAGCAACAACAGCCAACAACAGCTGATCATTAACACACATGATGATATAACACAGAAACCAACCCAGTTATGGCAGTATCCAAAGTAAATAAGCCTACAAGATTGTAAACAGGGGAACCAGAGACACCAACTGACAAATGAAGACAACTACAAACCAAAAAGAGGGGAAAAAAAAATCTGTGTCGTTACAGAACTTCTAGATGGTAGGGAAGTCAAGTCAACTACAAGATAGAACGGACTGTTCTAAACTTGGGAAGATAACTATAAATCACAGGGTAACCTCAAAGAAAAATGATAAACCTTCACATCAAAATAAAAAGGAGGACCAGCATAAATATTCAGCAAATACTAAAACAATAGCAATGAAGGAAGTGATAACATGAGCCATAAACAAAATGAGCTCAGCATAGAAAATTATTTGGAACAAATAAATAGACACAATGAAAAAGCACATGACAAAAATGACAGCAACAAATTCATGTTTGCTGATAATTACATATCTGGCAAGGGACTTATCTCTTGCTATTGATGGAAAACTCCAATGCCTCAACAGCAAAGGAATTAACAATCCAATTGAAAAATGGACAGAAGACATGAAAAGACACTTCACCAAGGAGGATATTCAGGTGATCAGCTAATACATGAAAAGATGTTCACAATCATTGGCCATCAAAGAGATGTAAATCAAAACAACAATGAGATATACTGTCTCACCCCAGCACTGATGGCAAGGTTCAATGAGACAGAAAATAACAAATGCTGGTGGGGATGTGGAGAGATTGGGACTCTCATACACTGCTTGTGTGACCGTGAAGTGACACAACCACTGTGGAAAGCAATAT